CTGAACCGCACAGGGAGGACAGGGCGTGGTCGGGTCTGCATCTGATAAAGATAAGTCTGACGAAATGGATCCTGGGAGATTAGAGGGGAAACCATTTAGGAGATTACTGTAGCAATGAATCTAGGTGACAAATGGTGACAATCTGGGAACAGAAAGGAAAAGGGGACACATTTACGTGATACTAAGGAATGGAAACGGAGCTGATCTGCTGATAAAATGAGAAGCCAAGGACAAAGGAAAGACCTTGGAGTGACTCCTAGGGTGGCAGTGTCACCCGCTGACACCGGAAATGTCAGAGAAGAGGACGAGGCTGGGTGCCACGCTCACTCCTCTCCAGCTGCGTGCGGTTCGAGGTGCCGGCAGAGCGCGTGCGTGGAGAGGCCTGCCGAGGCACAGGTACCAGGTAGGACAGAGAGCTGGGCTGCATCTTGAAACATCAGAGCCGCACAGGGGGAACGGAAACGATGGTCTGGAATTAAGAGAGATCTTAAGGTGGCACCAAAACACAGGGCGTGAGCTGAGGAAGAGTTGCCGTGGCGGGGAAGCAGGGGACCATCAAGAAAGAACGAAGGCAGAAGCAGCCCTGAGACTTCGGAGGGAGGAGTCCATGGCGGAAAGCAAGGGCCGGATGTGTGCGCCGCATTCGTGAACAAAGCGCCGCCAGTGACGCAGACGCAGCCAGTGCCCCGGCGGACACGAAAGCTGGGCTGAGAAGAGACACGCGGAGAGTGGCCTGGCTAGAAAGGGGGAGAGGAACACCGAGCAGGTTCTAGAAACAATCCAGGGAGGGTTCGCTTGAATTCTTGAAATGGAAGCGACCCGATCATTTGGGTGTGCAGGAGCAAAGATCCCACCACACCCAAATAAATAATTAAAGGGGAAAGAGAGAGGGAGATGTGAGGAGACAGGAAAAGCATCTTCGCAGGCCCCACACCAGCGGGAATCCTGACCCACGCCGAAGGACCCAGATTTTACAGGCGCGAAGGACGTGTAGCAGGTAACACTGAAAATGCGGTGTACATCGGGGACGCACTGCTGGCTGGTTTATTTTCTCCGTGAAGCAACATGCAGGTCACCTGCTGAAGGCCAGGAAGAGGCTACAGGAGAATGAGTAGAGACAGTCACTGTCACCGACGAGGAGGGTGTTGATGGGGACACGGAAGCCTCGCCAGGCAGGGCGGACGACTGGGCTGAGCCCGGAAACCCTGCATGTGTAACAGCACCTGGGGCAGTACAGGAAACAGCGCGAGGGAGTTTTTGATTATTATTATTGATAACAGGTTATTAAATGGCTAGAGACGTAAATAAAGCCAGAGGAGCTCCACCGGGGGAGGGGCCGGCCGTTCTCTCCAGCCGAGGCCCGAGGCTGTGGGGGGGGGCGGAGCGCCCAGGAGCTAGAGGGAGGACCCAAGGTCCCAGAGGGGCCTTCTGAGGGTTGGCCCACCTCAGCTCCCGCCAGGGGTGCACGTGGTAAAGCACAGAGACGATGTCACGGAGCTGTGAGGCCAAGTGACAAGAGGCTCATCCATGTAGACGTCGAGGTCACCCAGGACGATGGCAGGCCAAAGGATGATGCTGAGCCAGGTGCCAAGATGTTCAGTGACAGGTGGCCAGTGACGAAGCAGACGGGGCAGACGGTAGAGAAGGATAGATGGGCAAGTGGAAGACAGCATGAAGCAGGCTGGAAGGTGAAACCCAATGGAAATGGGTCAAAAGCAAAGCTTTTCCTTAAAAAAAAAAAAAAAAAAAAAAGAAAGAAAGAAAAGGAAAGCAGAGACATAACGGTATGGCTGCGGGACGTGGCAGCAGGCGGCTGACACAAATCCAGCCACTTCATGTGGGATGGACACAGGAGACGAGCAACGTCCCCTCCCGACTGCTCGAGGGGACGCATCATTTGGGGACAGACCTAGACTACAAAGACAAGGCACCAGAGGAAGGCCAGAAACCCTTCGTACAAGGCCATGCAACTGACGCGCGGATCCTGTTACTTCAGGAACGAGGCGCGGCAACCCAGCCCCCACCCCACGCGGACGCCGCCGAGCGTGCGGCTGTAACTCTGCGGTCTCTGGGGGAGAAGCGCAACCAGGCTTTGCAGGCACAAAACCCGAGACGTAAGTGCACAGGGCCGACATTTCCAAAACCCAGTGGCTCACGGCTCCACCAGCATGAAGTCAACTCGGCAGCAGACTTCGAGCCCCCCACAACCCGCCGCTGGGGCGACACGGTCTTCAGACTCCCACTGCTGCCCTCGCCCGCGGACGCCCCGACAGCCGCCGCTTCCTCCTGCACGGGAGCGTTAACCCCCTGGGACCAGAAAGCAGATTCAGCAATTCTGAGAGATTAGATTAGCAAAGGCCTGGAAACGCTGTTTCTCGTAAATGACATTTTAAAGAATACTCTGGAAACACCTTCCCGCCTGCCACTCCGTGGGGTACGAGGACTTCTGCGACCCCCAGAAGCTGCTCCTTCGAGATGAGCGGGAAACATGTTTGGACTTCGCGATGGTGCAAACATCCCCGTTATCATGACACGTTGTTTGTGTCTCTCAGGAACAGTGCTGCAATTTCTGGCAGGTCAGCACACTGAAGCCACCCGCCCGAGCCTCTCGTGGGCACTGAGGGCAGGCCTCTGATGGCAGTCAGTGACCAAGCGTCCCGGGACCAGAAGCGAAAGAAACGCATGTTCAGGACAGTGGGGACACCGGCCTCGGCGTCCTCAGAGATGCCAACGCGGTCCGCTCTCTCCCCTGGAGCTGCCATGCAGCCTTGCCAACGCGCTCGCTTGATGAAATTAAAAGGGGCAACTCCAGGGAGAGTACGCCCAGCGGGGACCACTGAGGCTTCAACACGGGACTCTGTTCCCCATGTCCCATCCAGGCGCGAAGCTGGCGGCGCCAACAAAATGCCGGACGCCCACCATGCAGCACATCGCTGGTCCCCATGTCCCATCCAGGCGCGAAGCTGGCGGCGCGGACAAAATGCCGGGCAGCACATCGCTGACCCTCGTCAGCGAGAGGCTCTCTGGCCACGCTCACGCACAGTGACCCTCTCTCTAGCCATCAGCCATGCTCACGCACAGTGACCTCTCTCTAGCCTCAGCCACGCTCACACACAGTGACCCTCTCTCTAGCCATCAGCGTGCTCGGGCTGGTTAAGGACCAGAAGTCTGCATGCCACGCTAAGCCGACGTCTCTCCCCGGTGGCTCCACGTGCGAGGCCGGAAGCCAGCGGGCAGGAGAGACGGTGCCCCATCTTCCCCTTTCCAGAGCCCGCCATCCCTCGCCCCTCTTGCTCAGGTTTGGCTTCAGACTGCCCCACGTTTGGGGTGAGCAGGAGTGAAGAGCGGAACAAAGGGGTGGTTTTAATCAGTGGCAGGGCTGACATCTGGCTTGCGTTTTCTTGCGCATGGCAGCTGTTTAAAGCTAATTCTCATGGGAGTTTTTATGTTATGTCCGGCCACATTTCTAAGCCCTGAAACATTTCTCAGCAACTCTTCACCATTCAAGACCAAAACAAAAACAGAACAAGCCCGTACTTCATGTCGTGCACTGCAACAGGCCCAGGATATTTACCCAAATCTGCAGCAACCCCAAACCACAATGCAAAAGGACATATTAAAAATAAATGGATTTTTAGTCTCGATATCATATTAACTTTAATCTTTCGGCTGTATTTAGTCATAAAGTCTTAGTTACAAGGTAGGTGCTACTGTAAAAGAGGTCATTAACACCTCCCTTCCCAGATGTCATTTGACCTATGCTCTAAAGTAATTTATCTCCGATACAGAATGCACTTTGACCTGTGAGCAAAACCATTTTCAGACGGCATGCACTGTAATTCTTGAATAAATGTGCTCACAAACTGTAGTTCAAGGGAGAGAAGGTGTGCTCCTCATGCTTTAATTCAGTTGAATTTCAGGAGAGGAGCTAAGGAATTTGTAGAAAGAAAAACCAGAACAGCTTGGCATTGGTGTAGTTCCGTGGCCTCTTGAACTTTAACCTTCCACATCACAGCACAAAGCTGGTTCTGAGATAAGAAGCAGAATAAATCCTCCTTGAAAACAGAGGGGTCCCCGACTACCTAAGTAAGAGCTACTCACCTGGAGGCCATGGCGTTCGATGGTGCCTGGAAGACTGACCGGAACGAGAACTATGACAAGTTCTTGGAAAAAATGGGTAAGGGCCTGATCCCGAGGGGCTCATTCTTTGTTTCTCAGACAGTTTTCTAGCTCCTTCTAAGTCTCCGGGCTTAGGGGATGGCCCCAGCGGTGGCGGCGAGGATCCCGAATGTGTGCTGGTTTGAGCAGGGGAAACCACCGTCTCACTGAGGGAGGAGGTTCTCGGTGCTGTCCTCTGAAACAGAAAGAAGATCCAGATGTTTCACTCACGTTAACTGCTGACTGCACCTGTATCACTAGAAACCGGTGGGGTTTTCCGTTCAGAAAGTGAAAACTGGCAGTGTGTAATGATAACCTCCAGACTTGGGGGTGGAAAAGCAAAGACCATATAAGAAAATAATAGAAAAGCATTCCACCAAGCGTGACAGCGCTGAATAAATGAGACAGTGCTCTTTTCCTCTGACTTACAAAGCTTTTGGAGTAATCTCACGGTGGTATGTAGTTTCTAAGGGGGTTTTAATTGAAGCGATTTTAATATCTGTAGCAATACACTGTCAGCCCATATGCTGCACAAGACTGGCAAACGAATATGTGTCATTCCCCCAAAATAAAAGTCTGCATCCATTAACACCTACAGTTCAGGGATTCCAGGTTTAAATTTATGGAATTTGTATATTTTACAATAATGAACTTGACTGTAATAATTGCTAATTTTCTCATTTTTTGACAGAAATGCCACAAAAAGCAAAGAGAATTAAGTTGCTCAAGATTTAAAGCATTTATGGAAAGCATAAAAAAATTATCATATATGCAAAATTAAAGTTGTATATCCTTATAAATGTATGAATATATTTTTTAATCTTTCCTTTGCCATTTCTGGAGTTCGGCTTACTGAACACTGAAACAAAAAGCTTGATAATTTTATTAAAACTACTCAATTCTAAGATTCTATAATTCTATGCTTCATTTAATTTTTCTTAAGTTTTGGAAAAAGAGCTTGAGAATCAGTGCCCTCGATCCAACTGAGATCGAACTTGTCCCACAGAAGCCACTGGAGTACTCTTGTGCCAAGGCAAAGTTCTCAGGGTGTCCTCCTCACCCACAAAATATTAACGATTAATTAATTAAAACAGAATGTG